GCTTAGAAATGACAGCAGTCTGAAGTTGGCTGCAGTTTTTTCATCTCCCCTATATTTGGTATTGGGCGAAGGAATAAAGCTGAAATCCTGAAATTAGATATTGAGCTTTCTGTTGGTATCTAGGTATAGTTTTGAAAATTAGTACACTAACTGTACGAAAAGAACTAAATTTTACTAAATTAGTATTGAGAGAAGAGATAGAGCTTGAATCCTGAAATTAGATTTGGACGACACTGTTGGTGTCTGTGGTTGAGAGTGGAACTGATTTTGGAAAATTTTGTCCAAAAATCGATGAACAATTTGTGAATTTTGAGTACTAAAATGAACTGTTGGAATCTAAAATTTTAACGTAGACTTTTGCAGACGAGGGCACTTGCTACTCAACAAAAAGACTCATTACAATATAAGTAGTTATTCTTGGCCACAAATATGTCGTTGTCAAAGAAAGGCTACTTTTTTTGGGCAAGAATAACTACTTATTCAAAATGATGATAGATTATTAATCTGATTTGTAATGAGTTGTGCTTAGGAACACTTCTAACCAACAATACCTACCGTAGGGTGCAAAATGTGCCGTCTAGACATACATATGTATGCATGAATGTAAGTATTTAAGTTCATTGTATCATCAAATCAAAGCATGTGCTCGTTTCTTTTAAGGTTAGATTTAAAAATGCCGACAAACAACAAATACAAAACGAAATACGAGGAGGGGAAAAACTATGAACAAACATTCCTTACAAACACAAGAAACAAACGAAGAACATAAACAAACCGCATGCAAGACGGCCGGGTGAACGAACATAAACATACACACAAAAAGCGAAGAGACAGAAAGAGGTTTTATTAAGAAGCCCATTGATGACGACATTCTGGTATAAATTTTGCATCAGCTATTTGGTGTTGACGAAAAAGAAGTAGAGAATTGAAAGAAAAACACTTTAGAGAAGAACACAATATGACATTAATCAAAGTATATGGTGGTGGAAGGCGCCAAACCGAGAAGAGAACATGATTATCCCAGGATATAAATTTTTAAAGAGGTTGCACAAAAAGGAAGAGAGAGTCCTTTTAAGGGTAACATAGAAAGCACGTGCACGTGGTAAAATAACATACAAAATTAATTTACATTTTATACGAAAATAAATGACAAATGTTTATTCCACCTTTTTAGTATTCCATAGATGGGCAAGTAGACACGCTAGCGTTGCTGTCTCTTATTCTCTGTCATAAGTAAAACATCAACAAACAGGCAAGTAATAATACTTTTCTACAATTGTTTATATAAAATAATTTTTGAGCTTATTTTGATTATATTTTTGCTTAAAAAATCATTAAATTAGTTAAAATTCAGCGCAGGACAGTTATTTAAAAATACTCTTAAGAATATCTCTTTCATTATTTTTCCCATCTATGGTATTCCCATTGACTGTTAAGTATTCCTATGGGGGCCTGCGACTCGGCCGGGAGAAATGTGACTGCTGCAAAAAAGAAAACCACCGGCTTAATAAATACACAACAACAACAAAAAAACCAAAAGTCATTAACAACATCATCATTAACATAGTACAGCTAAATAAGCAAAGACCACAACACCACCAAAACACCCCTCTTTTCAAGAGAGCCCATCACATGAGAGAAATTCTCAGCAGAAAAGCTCCCTTAAAAATTGCTGGGCATTTCTCTATAACAGGGGTGCTCAAAACCGTGTTCTAGAACATGAAGAGAAAAAAGAAATAATTTAAGAGAAAATTAAAATTCTGTTTTTCTTTATATTTTACTGTTCTATTTAATTGTTTTTAAACACGAATGTTTGCCAAAATAGTTTATAAAGCAAATGGATAAAAAATATTTGTATAAATAATGACTTAACACTGTTTTGTTCTTGATAGAGTCTATAACACTCTTATTAAATGTAACAGTTGGCATTTTACAGTGTTGCACTATGTGCGGGGAAAAACACGCTATTTGCATTTTGATTTGTTGAAATCGGAAAACGGCGTTTTAGCTGTAAATTTGCTGTTTGGTATGTAAATTTTTCAAGTAATGATAGTCCTAATTGAACCATGAATGAGGTCGTAACATGATAACAACAAAATTGAGAACATATTAAATTAAAAATATTTATTTTAATATATTTTAACAATTAAAAAGTTCGATTATTTAAATATATTTGGACCTCTTTTATGATTATTCAAATTGTTGACCCTCTATGGAGTATGTTCCGACGGAATGGGCCAATATTACCAATTTCGTATTGGACCTAAATAAATATGATATAATTTGTTGCGACGTGCCAGGTTTGGATTATATAGCGACTACTTCCTTCACTGTATATGAGATATGTGATTGTTAGAAAATGTTAAAATGTGTGTGACGTACCAGATATCGTATTTCAAACTTCATCTAATACAGATAAAAATATTTAAATGGGCAAAATTTCAAGGAAACCGAACATTTATATTCAATTTTATGCGAGATCATAAATTTCATATTTATCTCAGGTTTTTGGTTGAGAGAAATATTTAGAAATAGCAAGTTGTAAAGAATCGCTGACTTGTTTCGCAAGTTATGACAGATAAAAGTATTAAAACAGGCAACCCTTTGTGAGTAAGGTACCAGAAGGGGTTGGTAGATATATATCATCTTCACAACAAATCTTGCGCTAGCAAAAATATTTGGATGTGTGAGAGAGCGTTTTGTTTTTCAAAAATCTTGAACCCTATGTGTGGGAGGTACCAGAAGAAATGGTCCTATCTGTACTATCTTAATAACAGATCTTGTGTTTATGGAAATATTGAGATGTACCAAGTTTGATTCTTATTCTTATTTCTATTCTTATTCTTTCTCATTCTGTGCTGTAAAATATTTTTTTTGAACCTTTTGTGGGGGAGGTACCAGAAGGAGTGGACCGATATTGCCCATCTCCGAACTCGATCTAAGTTTGACAATAATACTACGATGTTCCAAGTTTGGACCAAATCGCGCGCACCAGCCAGACAGACAGACGGATGGATGGACGGACATGACTAGAAACGGAATTGGACTAAAGAGGCCTAGGATCTAATACCGTTATTTCGATGAAGCACGTTTTGGCCGTTTCAAATGATATACAGGATGAGAAAAAAAAAACTGCAACAAAGTCAAATGCCATTATTTTATTTAATTTTATTGATTGAAAGCAAAAAATGTCGGAAATAGCATCAAATTTTAGAATTAGTTTAGATTTGTTCGAATTGGTCACCTTTGGCACAAATTATGGCCTACAAACGGCCAATGCAACCGCCAAACGCTGTCCGAATGTTGCTCTGCGGTATTTTGGCGAAGCGCTTGCTTGAGGTGATCGACACTATGGTATTTTTTAGTGCCAACCTTACTTTCCAAAATACTCCAGACACAATAGTCCAACGGATTGGTAGCCGGAGATTTGGTGGCCAATGTGCGCTGGAAATGAAGCGAGGAACTTCATTTTGTAACCATTCTTGGGTGGCGCGTGCTGAGTGCGATGGTTCTGAGTTCTGTTGGAATGTCCAAGGTTTGCGGCCAAAATGTTTGCATCCCCAAGGCTTTAATACGCCTCCAGAACATTTTCGCCATAATATTCGGCATGTATTCTGATGCCACTGTCGATTAATACGAGCGGATGGCGACCATCGGCTGTTATGGCGGCCCACACCATCACCATGGCCGGCACTTGAGTTCTGGTGGCCAACCGAAGGTGCACATTTTCAGCTGACCTCTTTGGCAAATTAGCACGATCATTTTGTTTGTTTACAAACTGCTGGACCACGAATGTTTTCTCATCGGAGAAAACCAAATTCGGCAGTTCACCACTTTCGGCCAAGCGAAGCAACTCTTTAGCTCTTTTGAGTCTATTTTCTCTCTGTTGCGGTGTAAGTTCTTGCACTTTTTGGAATTTCAATGGCTTTACCCCGAGCTCATTTTTCAATATTTGCCGAATGGAATATTGCGATATGTTCAGCTTACGAGCCATATTTCAGCCACTGCGACGCGGGTCAATCATCGATCAAGTCGCTTCTTTATTTTCGGATCCATTTCTGCTGATGTTGCTGTTTTCTACCGTCCACTTCCTTGACGTCGGGCTACGCTACCAGTATCACGGTAACGAGCGATGGTACGAGACACAAAAGATTTATTAACATTTAAATGCTGGAGTGATCTAACGATAGCCTCTTGTGGTTTTCCAGCCAAATGTAAAGAAATCTCACTATCACGCTTGAATTCCATCACGATTAATTTTTTTTTTCTGGAAAATTCTCACCAAAATGCTTTTTTACGCCTGTAAACAATATAATGAGCTGTCACTGGAATAATTTTTACAGCTGTCGGGCGAGTGGCTTAGAAATGTCAGCAGTCTGAAGTTGGTTGCAGTTTTTTCTTCTCACCCTGTATACATAGACCTTGATTGGTTGGTTGTTCAAGAAAAACTTTGATAAATTGGCCTCTGGCGCGAGAACACCTTCTTTTTCAGCATTTTTATGACTTAATGTTTCATGACAATTTTTAAAATATGTATGCTGTTCCAGATAGCCGATAAAACATTACATTAATATTAATAAATAAAAAATACGTACACATTGATTTGTTGATAGTTAAGAAATCTAAGAAGAATCGACATCAAATTTAAAGTTGGTAAATCAATTACCAACCCAAAACATCCACATTTTAAGTGTTTTATTAACGCATTTTAAATATTGCATTGTTTAAAAATATAAGACAAAACTTGATAAAAAAACGTAATGAAATATCATGACAAAATTATAATTGTCGTTCTCCCTTAAAATTTCTCTTTTTCAATTTTCCTCACCACATTCAGCCTTAGCAGGGCTGTGTTAGCACATGAGTAGGCAAAAGAGAACGTTGAAGAGAAAAATGCATATTTAGAGTGGGTTGGTTGGCTTGCTTGCTCTCTCGCTCTCTATTTTGCCTCTATTTTACACAGTGCCACTACCATGCGGCAATGTTATATTAACACTCGTAACGCATTTTCTTCACAGTTTATGACGGTTCCCCTAACGGGTAGTTCCTTTCTACGCTTTACGGCACGGTGCTCGGAATATTGAGTTAATTTTTCGGTTTAATTTGCACATGTGTTTCTTGTGATCCAATAACCCAACCTTCGTTCTCCTTTTGATTGCCGAAAGTGAAGAAACAAAATCGAATTTATTTTGGTTAGAAAATTTTATTCGCCAGTCAACGAAGAAGTAAAGAAACCGTCTAAATTTTTTTCTCAAACAAACAAATTAAATATAAATAGCACAGAGAAGAGAGCGATTCTATTCGTGTTGTGTAAAATAAAAGGCGAGTGTCGTAAGAATCAAATTTAGGAAAGAACAAAAACGTTGCAACCCCATTTAGTGTTCCTCTAAAAATACTATCGGCCATTTTTGGAAAACAGAGACATTTGCTTTGGGACATAACAGACTGGCCACGTGCAAATTGTCATTGCATAAATATCTACAATATTTGTTGATCAAATAGGCAAAGTAAGTTTTATTTTTATGTCTAAGAGAAAAAAAAACCTATAAGCAGCGGTGCTCAAAACGGTGTTTTAGAACATGAAGAGAAAAAAGATATAATTTAAGAGAAAATTAAAATTCAGTTTTTATACCCTCCACCATACTATGGAGGGTATATTAATTTTGTCATTCCGTTTGTAACTCCTCGAAATACTCACGTCAGACCCAACAAAGTATATATATTCTTGATCAGCGTAAAATTCTAAGACGATTTAGCCATGTCCGTCTGTCTGTCTGTGTGTCTGTCTGTCTGTCTGTCCGTCTGTCTGTCTGTCTGTCTGTCTGTCTGTCTGTCTGTTGTAATCACGCTATCTTTCGAACAAATTGAGATAGAAGGCTAAAATTTTGCACACATGTATATTTTGCCAGTAGGCAGGTTAAGTTCGTAAATGGGTCATGTAGGTTCAAGTTTTCATATAGCCCCCATATAACGGTACCTCTCGATATTCGGTATTTTGATGATTTTAGCGACATTATTCACCGGAATTGTTTCAAATTTGGCATTTGAAGTTCGTAATGGATACTACAGCCTAAGACAGAAAATTATCTGTGCAGGTCCACGTCTTCGTATAGCCCCCATATAACGGTACCCCCCGATATTCGATATTTTGATGATTTTAGCGACATTGTTTACCGGAATCGTTTCAAATTTGGTATTTGAAGTTCGTAATAGGCACTGCAGCAGTAAACAGAAAATGGACCATGTAGGTCCACGTCTTCGTATAGGCCCCATATACCGTACCCCCCGATATTCGGTATTTTGATGATTTTAGCGACATTATTTACCGGGATTGTTTTAAATTTCGCATTTGAAGTTCGTAATGGATACTTCAGCCCATGCCAGAAAATTGTCTGTGCAGGTCCACGTCTTCGTATAGCCCCCATATAACGGTACCCCCTATATTCGGTATTTTGATGATTTTAGCTACATTATAAACAAATTTTTCTTCAAGTTTCGCATTTAAATGTTGTAATAACTTATGACAAAAGTTGCCTATGCAGGTATACGTCGTCGTATAGACATTCGGTATTTTTAAGATTTTAACAGAATTTTTAAAGGATTTTTTTATTTTATTTATTTATTTTTTTTTTGGAAATTGCCAAATTTATACCAAATGGTGGAGGGTATTAAAAGTTCGGCCCGGCCGAAGTTACAGCTTTTTTTACTTGTTCTTTATATTTTACGGTTCTATTTAATTGTTTTTAAACACAAATGTTTGCCAAAATAATTTATAAAGCAAATTGATAAAAAATATTTGTATAAATAATGACTTAACACTGTTTTGTTCTTGATTTAAATAAGCAAAGAGAAATTTGACTGAAAAGAGATATTTCTTCTTGAGCACCGCTGCTATAAGTAAAATAACAACAATAACAACAAATGTGGTCAAGTTCGCTGCTTTGAAATGTGTAGCCAAACATCAATTGTCTATGCTACACACACAGACTCATATGTAAAAGTATGAAGCTTGTGTGCGTGGCAAACCCTTGATGAAGGTGCGTCGATGTCATGCACATTGGGGCAGATGCCATAAAAAGTGAATAATTAAGACCGAAATTTATATTTCGGAACATAATTTAAGTTGAAGCCTTAATGGCATATTGTAGCTATTTGTGTGCAAAAATAAGTTGCGGCACCTTTTGTTAACGTAAAGTGAGCGTTGTATAAATGCATGTTTAATTATAGAAGAGTTATGCTTAAGCCATTTAACCTATGTTAGTAACAAGATTTGAATTAATAAAACGGTCACAGACTAATGGTGATTTGAAATGTATGTGCTGGAAAAAATATTAATCTTTACGAATTCTACAAATCTATATTTATGTTCAGTTACAGAAAAATAGTGGGGTACATATAGTATGGAGGGTATATTAAGTTTGTCATTCCGTTTGTAACACCTCGAAATACACATTTTAGACAGCATAAAATTCTATGTCGATTTAGCGATGTCCGTCTGTGGAAATCACTCTATCTTCCGAACTAAATGAAGTAGGTTGATAAAATTTTACTCTAATGTAGGAATTTTGTCTGTAGGAATTTTGGTATTGAAAATGGATGATGTAGGTCCACGTTTTGGTATAGCCTCCATATAATGATACCTCCCTTTTTTCGGTATTCTGGTGATTTAAGCGGCATTATTCATCGGAAATGTTTCAAATTTGGTATTTGAAGTTCGTAATGGGTACTACAGCCTATGACAGAAAATTGTCTGTGCAGGTTCACGTTTTCGTATAGCCCCCATATAATGGTACCTCCCAATATTTGGTATTTTGATGATTTTAGCGACATATTCACCGGAATTGTTTCAAATTTGGTATTTGAAGTTTGTAGTGAATACTACAGCCTAAGATAGAAAATTGTCTGTGCAGGTCCACGTTTTGGTATAGTCCCCATATAATGGTACCTTTCTATATTCAGTATTTTGATGATTTTAGCTAAATTATTCAAGTTTCGCATTTCAATGGCTTATGACAAAAGTAGCCTATGCTGATCCCCCTTGTTGAATAGAAAACGGCTACATTCGGTATTTTTAAGATTTTAATAGAATTTTTAACGAATTTTATTTTTTGAAAATTGCCAAATTCGTTCCAAATGATGGAGGGTATTCAGCTCGACCCGGCCGAACTTAAAGCTTTTTACTTGTTTCCCACGAGATCCAATAACATTGAATATAAGCAAACGTGTGAAAATTTTACTAGGGCGGTTTCCGAATAATAGCAACGTCGAATGGAATTCGTCAACAACGTATGAGAATAAAAATGGGACATTAGATAGTCAAAATATTGACACCAGCTTAAAATTTCGCTAATTAATGAAAGTTAGCGATGAAATTGAAGTTGTCGCTACGGCCTACCGATAGCAATGATGTTAACTTTAACTTGTTTTTTATATCAAAATTTTGCGTTAGAAATTTTTTGTTGCTATCTCAAAAATGAGTTAGAGAATCCCACTGCAGGTGGATAACAATATACTTAGCAATGTTAGGTAATTAAAATTGCAAAATCATTATTTAATTAATTGAAAAAGTCAATGGACCTCAATTTTGAGCTCAAAATTTTGGTTTTCGGAAAATTTGATTCGTTATCCTGCTCTGTAATTATGTTTTCATATCCTCCACAATACTATGGAGTTTATTTTAACTGTGTCCTTTCGTTTATAACTCCTGGAAGCAACCCACAAAATATACAAATTCTTGATGAGCGTTGATATTCTATGGCAATTTAGTCATGCCTCCCGTCCGTTTGTTTGTCCGTCTGTGGAAATCATTCTAGCTTCCGAACGGAAAGAATTATGTAGCCCAGTCCTTTGTAATCACGCTAGAGTTAAAACAAATAAAGATAGAAAGCTAAAATTTTGCACCGATGGAATTGGTTTACAATTCACACAAGGAGTTCCTTCTAAGTACTTTACCCCTTGATATAGAACTGTCTATATAGGTCCACGATATCGTATATCCTCCATATAACTGTATTTATCGGCATTTATATGATTGTAGTCACATTTTTCAATGACATTGCCTAAAATACTACACAAGGAGTTCTCTGTGAGTACTTTATCCCCTGAAAGAGAATTTTCTATATAGGTCCACGATATCGTATAGCCCCCATACAATGGAGCTCTCTGCTATTCGTTAGTGTGATAAATTTAGCCACATTTTTCAATGGAACAGTCTTAAAATCCACACAAGGAGTACCGTCTCAGCACTTTGGCCCCTGGAAGAGTATTGTCTATATAGGTCCCCCCATATAACTGTACTTTCCGACATTCGGTATTTTGATGATTTTAGTCACATTTTTCAATGGCATTGTCTAAAATTGTACACAAGGAGTTTTATGTGAGTACTTTAACCCCCTGAAAGAGAATTTTCTATATAGGTCTACGATATCGTATAGCCCCCATAAAATGGTGCCCCCAATATTCGGTATTTTGATGACTTTAGCCACATTTCACAATGGAATAGTCTGAGTAATTTACCCCCCCTGGAAGAGTATTGCCTATATAGGTCTACGTTTTAATATAGCACCCATATAACGCCACACCTAGATATTCGGTATTTCCAGGTTTTTTTTGCGATACTATTTACAGGAATTGCGTCAAGTTTTGTATTTGAAGTCCCTAATGGGTATTACAACTTATGACGGAAATTTGTCTATGCAGGTAACGGTATCTCCTTTTGTTCGGAATTTTGATGACATCTGTTCCGAATCGTTACAACAGTCTATGACAAAAAATTACTTATCCAGCACCACGTTTTCGTATTGCCCCCAAGTTCCTTCCTATGAGTAGATTTGCAAATATTATACGATTTCCCACAGGTTCTTTTTAAAAGTAGATTTGCAAAACACAAGGATAAGGTTAAACCCAAATTAAGTAGATCAAAACCAAAATTTGTGGCTACAAACTTTGGAGAAATTGCCGCATTAGAGACGATAATAAGCCACTGTGTTCCGGAATAAAAAAATCATTCCTAAATTCTGAGTAACCTAGCTTTACTTAGTTCCAACGTGTTTTATCCTTGTGTGGTTTTGCGGTTTTCAAATATTACTTTTTTTTCCCCATTCACTTAAATTTCGTATAGATTTCTAACTACAAAACTTTCAAATGCAAAACTATCAACTATGCCAGCCAAGTGATTTCCAGTGTAAATGAAAAAGATGATGCAATACAAATGTTAGATTTCATATTATCCTGTATGTCCTCATTGAAATTGACTATTTATTCTTCAGGACATAAGTGTGGTTGAATTCGCTCTCGGCCTCTCTGTCTCAACTCAAACTCTCTTTAGCATTGTTACCGGCAAATGTCAGAATATGAAATAAAAGCAAAGGGAAAAATATCTTGTGAACAGCTGACTGACTGACGTTGAGAAAGAAAACAAAAACAACAAGAACAACAGTCATTGCATGGCTTGAATGATAAACATTTTTTCTACCTCAATTATAAAAAATAACTGAAATACAAAACA